TCCCATCGTACGATCAAATATGGAAGAATTTCTTATGATCCCGGCGATCCTCCTGCCCATTCTGCACTTGGTTTACTAAGTACTGCTGCCACTTTTGTTCCCATGACTCAACCAGACTCATAACCGTTTCTCGCCCACCTTTCTACAACCATTGTCATCAACTCTTCCTTAGGTCCCACAATGTCACCCCACGAGTCTTTCTCTTCCTTGTGACCGGTTCTTGTAACTGCCCCTTCCCTGAGTTCTACCACCACTGCGGGAGACCCTTTCTCTAAAGTCTTAATCAGCAATTTCCCAGACGTGCAAGCAGGGTCTATCATTTCGTTATCTACCACAAGGGTCCCTCCCTCGTAGTCGAGGAACCCATCGATAGGTTCCTTGTTCTCTACTCCTTCCAGTGTAATACACATTCTGCTCAAGCCGCCGGCCCTGTTCCTAAGACCGGCTATGCGCTCCATCTTATAGTCAAACTTCCAAATGAACCGCACCCATCTTCCCACGGTGGGGTCTATAGGTTTGTAATTCTTTAGAGCCCCTGCGACGTTTGTCGGATCTATTCTCAAGATGAACCTCCTTTCAAAGAGGTAGGCTTGGAAGGTCTTAAGGCAGTGGAGAATGACCAACACTTCTTTCTTGAATTGAGAGTAGCGACGCTCGGTGGAGTTCAGCGTCCTACTCTCGAATCTGATTGGTCGTTCCCTTGAATCTTCCCCTCTTTGAATCAGGACACCTCCCACGGCTTGTGGTCCCCCACCAGTCTCAAGCACAAATGGGCGTCCAACTTCATCGTTAAGATGTAGAGCAACAATAGTGACCTGTTTAGATGTTAATATATCTTTCAAGGTCTGGACGGCGACTTCTCGTTCCTCCGTCCTATCGAGCGTGCCCTCTTCACGGATCATGGCCCGAATGGGCTCGACTATCTTTGTGAATCCTTTGATGAAAATCCTCCAAAATCCTACAACCCCTAGAAAGACCCTCACCTCCGTTGTGGTTCGCAGGGGCGTTGGCCATTGAGAGATTTTGTCCGTCTTGGCTGGATCCGACTTCCTTCCATACGACCCGCAGCGAAATCTTAAGATGGTTACTTCCGACACTGCCAGGATGCTCTTGGGGCCGCTTGCAGTGATGTTGTATTCCAAGAACCTGCGGAGAAGCTCTTTGATATCCTACAGGTGGTCCCATACAAATTTCTGTATCCCTGGTTGAATTTCCGTTTCATTCTTGTCTCGTACGCCTTTGATCGGATTATCGTCAATGTACGGTTCACATTTTGCGGAGAACATATCTCCCGCAACTGCGAGCATCATTCTTTGTGCTTCCGCCACAGCATTGGTGAAGCCAATAGGAGTTTCATGCATTTGTAATTGCCCTACAGGGGTATGCATAGTCGTGTAGGGTCTATCCCGGGCATCCAGTGGGAGCTAATCGTATCCAGAATAGAGGTCTACCAATGAGTAAATGCTTCGTCTGGCGTGAGATTCTGCCAGCAGGTCTACTTGAGACAATAATCCCGCGTCCCGGATGGTGACAACATTTAATTTTTGCGGATCCTAGATCCACCTAAGCGATTTGTTAGGCTTCCGAAACACAAACCATCTATTCGCGTATGGTGACGTGGTGGGTTCTGCCACAAAGGAGTCCATCTTTGATCTGAGTAATTTTGTTACTTCCCCTGCTTCTCCAAAGTCATAGGCGGGCCCCTTGTCGTTATAACATTCGTGCTTGACTGTGTGGATCCTGACCGGGGGTATCAATTTCGCCTCTAATCGTCCCTTCTGATAGTTGTTGAAGACAAAAAACATGTTATTCGTTAAAATAGGATATTATACTGTGTCTTTTTTCTAACAAATTTATTTTTGGCTGCATTCCAAGCAACGTAGGCACGCCAATACAGGGCTTAAGCACATGCAGAAGTGTGCTGAGATCCGTACTTGTGAAACTTTATAAATGATATCCCAAATGAGGAAGCGTGTTCAAACCCATACATGTTAGGCACGCCATACGGGAACCTTGTGTGGAAGTGTGACGGGATCCTTACTTGCTGAAGTTAAAAAACGTGGCACTGCTGGGAATCCTGTGCGGAAGTGTGCTGCGGTCTGTACTTGTTAAACTTCATAAACGAATAACGATAGGCACGCCCATCAGGGAACCGTGTGCGGAAGTGTGCTGGGATCCTTACTTGTTGAACTTCAAAAACGTGCTAGGAATCTTGTGTCGAAGTCTGTCGGGATCCGTACTTGTAGAGGTAGGTCGTAAACGAATAACGATAGACACGCGCATCAGGGAACCCTATGCGGAAGTGTGTTGGGATCCGTACTTGTTAAACTCCAATTCCATAATTGTGATGAGCAATGTGTCATGATTGCATCCTCGTTGGATAATTATATTAGAAGACGTAGAGTAGCAACAGGCACGCCCGAGCGATAGTGTGTCGGGAGCCACACTTGTCAAACTTCAAGTTTGCAAATGTGATGAGCAAGGTGTCATGATTGAATCCTTGTTGGATAATACTATTTTTTTTTTTTATGCGTGAGTTGTACATGCATGACAATCATCTCGCCCGAGGCGGTTTTTTGGATGTTGTAGAGATTCAGACTTCTTTAGAAGTACAAACAATAATTTTTGACATACAATTTGTTTTTCCCGGCCACGAATGCAAAATTGTCGGTTACATGTAATTCAGGCGGTCAAAAATACATGATTGTCTATGCACACAAGAGACGTGATGTTACTGGTCTTTTACTCTTTGCATAACGAACCTCACACTCACATAGTCGCCGAGATTTGTCTTGCATCCACACTCCAATTCGTCATGTCGCACCACACACACGAATATCATTTCGAGGTGAATTATATGCACAACTTTGGATGACCTGGACACAATTTGCAACGAGGACTACAAGGCGGTGAATGTAATGGCACGACAGACAGGCCGGACGTGACAGAGATTCCGAAGGCAACACGCGACGCCAGACTGGCAGTCAACATACCAAAGACAACTCAAACTCGCAACACCAAAAGAAAGTAATCTCGTTGTGAAAGCGACAGTTAAAATATGAAATATTCTAAAACAGAAGTTTGCAAATCAATCGAATCCATCAAAGACAACGACATTCCAAGATACATGATGCCAATTGTCGTCTAATATGCGGAATATTTTTACAAGAGAACCTCAAAGGTGGTCGATCGCCACGTCGTAGGAGTGTCGCAAACATCAACATAAACACCCCGCAACTAACTCCATCCAATTGTCTTAGAACTCCATCTATAACAACATTTGTTGCTACCAACTTCCAACTCCTGCATGATCGCCTATATGTGATGTTTGACATTCCAAATAGTGTACGATCAACTCGAAAACACTAAGGTAAAAACTAGAATCGGCTACAACGCAAGGAAAAGAATCGAAAATCTCAAGAACATTATCTCTCAAGTTCACGGAAAGGAGAATCCAGTGATCATTATCTTTGAGGATTGGAATAAAGATAATATCATATTGAAGCAGATCCACGTTTTTAGCCCATCTCCGCCGTGTCCTTGAAGTTGCAGTTTACTGAAGAAGAACTCATTAAAGCTGAAGACTCGAAGACCTAACGGAATGTCATGTATCCCATATGCGGTCGTTCCCAATAGCGCCATGTAAAAGTTGACCACCTCATCATTCACCCTATCGTCAGTAAGTGAGAGGGTGAGAATATCCTTCCCTGTAATTCGCAACTGACCATCGCCGAGGGTCGAGAGTATAGTGTTAGGTGGCACCACGCCTCGTTCAATGTCGTCCAAAACCCGTAAGCTTCTAATCGAGTCACTGCTGTACCAGGTGTCGTGGCCCCCACTACACAACATCGCGCAAAGGACAGGGGGGGAAGTGAGAAACGGAACTCTAAGGATTCTCCTTCATCGCACAACGAGTAGCTAAGTATTTCTCATACATGGCCTGACCCCTAGTCACTGATTGTGGATATGTCCCTTTCTCTGGGGGCAGAAGGGAAAGACACTCCTCAATGGCAATGGCATGCTCCTTCCCGATTTCGACATCAACCCCTGACGCCTTTAACATGTCTTTGTGTTTTGTCGTCAACCCCGTGACTGTCTGCAATATGCGTTCCGAATATTTAGAGGGCCTCCGTGTTCGAGACGACCCTACCCCTGTACAACAGAAGAAAGACAAAACGAAAAATGAATACATGTCTCCGAAGAAGAACCCGACGAAAGGACAATTAAAGAACCACGAAATCTAAAAGACGTAGGACCTATGCAATTACAGAACCCCGTTATGCCATGAGAGTGCGAGAGAGAGAACTTCCGCATGAGCCACGTTGCAAAACAAAACGACCAGTTCACTCGAGCTGGACACCACCGCCCTTCGGAAGGGAAAACCACAACAAGTCATAGAAGCGGAAGCCAAACATCGCTGAAGTCCGGATCCCAGCGAACTTATCCAGCCCAGGGAGGTGACCCAACCCCTGTACAACCGAAGGAAGAGAAAACGAAAAATGAATATAAGTAATCCAAGACGAATCCGACGAAAACGACAATTTAAGAACCACGAAATCCAGAAAACGCAGGACCTATCTAATTACAGAACCCCGTTTAGCCATGAGAGAGATAAAGAATACTTCCGCGCAAGCCGCGCTGGAAAACAAAAGGAGCAGTGTGTTCGGCCTCGACACCCCCGCCCTTTAGAAGGGAAAACCTCAACAAGCCACAAACGCGGAGGCCAAACATTTCCGAAGTCAGGATCCCGACGGAATTTTCCCAATTGAGGCACAAAAAGAGTAACCGCATTACGCAGCGGCCTTGGCAGTGCGGATCCCAGCGGACTAAAACCACCACTTATTCCGAAAAAGAAACACCATCCTTTCATTATGTGAGGGAACGCTTCAACAAAAACACACATGTTTTTGTCTCGTATGCCCTGCACACGACCAGTGACCTGGCCGACTCACAGGATGGTCGTTCACATGTACTTGGAAGTTTGAAGGAGTGGTGGCTGTAGCATGCCGGCATCAGGAACTCCCCGCATCGACAGACACTGCGGTCACTGGCGCGCAGACAGAGTGGCGTTTGTCACTGCTTACCAGCTGGTTTGTCTCTCTGCTCCTTAATCGGTGAAGTTGGTGCGGGCAAGGCCATCACATCGAGAGCTCGACTGTCGGTGGCAGTTTTTTTCGGGGACGTGACATCTTGGTGTCTCCCCATCTCGCCTTCTCCTCCGCTGGCGATGGTCGGCGACAGCATCGGATAGTTCGTCGGCGAGAAAGCCATGACAAATCCCGCGGAAGGTTTGACGTCGAGAGGGTCGTCGACACCAGGCGTCGAGGACGGCTGCGCGGACATGTGGTGGTCGCCCAGGACGCCGTCGATAACTTCTTCGACGTCAATACGTATAGTCGGTTTAGTCAGGTTGACTGCAACACGAGCTTCGTTGAACCGGTGTTGGAGATCGGCGGCAGACGTCATTGCTTGGACCTCATAGTCATCACGTTCTGCCGAAAGGCTTGTGACCACCTGTGTCTCCATATCCATTGCCGTCTCATCGTCGTCGTCGTCTTCCTCGCGATATTCTCCGTACAGCTGCCTGAATCCGTCAGACGACTCCCCAGATCTGTCATCGTCGTCGCCGAACGTCCGTTCATCGTTTTCAGTATCGAGTTCCCCTTTTTCCCCCTCCTTCCCTCCTAGCAACCCAGCCAACTCCGTTTCTTCCCCTTCCTCTCCTTCCTCCCCTTCCTCCTCTTTTTCCTCCCCTTCATCCCCTCCTTCCTCCAATTCCTCCCCTTTGTCTCCTTCCTCCAATTCCTCCCCTTTATCTTCTTCCTCCCCTTCCTTCTCTTTGTCCATCACCTTGCCTTCTTCCCTTGCATGCAATCCAGCCACTTCGCCCGAACCCGTGTCGAATTCCGACGAATGCCCTTCCCGCCCGCCGCACGCAGCCCCTCTCGCCGGCACCACAATCTTTGGTTGGCCCCCCTTACCTGAAGAAGTTCGGATCCCGGCGAACTTCGCCGTCTCCCTGTCGCCGGGCCCTCCACACGTACCCTCTCGCTCCGACCGAAGCGGTTGTCGATCCCCCTCAGGCGGCGCATTCCCGTCCCTCACCGCACTGCTGTCTATTTTGGGATCACGACTCGCCACCCCCGCTCCTGACCAGCTTTGCACGTCCGTCCTCTTTGTGCGCTCTGCAGGCATTGAAGTTCGGATCCCGGCGGACTTGAACGTTTCGACCGAGCCGGCACGGAGAGCAACCAAGGCCGCCATCACCGAGCCGGCGGATGAAGTGGGCACGTTCGCTGACTATTCCGAGCCTTCCGGATCGGGAACGGTATACTGCTGACGCCCGAAGGCCTCCCCTTCCACTGTCGTGGTGTCGCCGTGAGACCCGCCCTTCGAACCAGGCGGGACTCCTTTGCCATCCCCAGCCTTGTCGCCCTCGTTCTCCCCACCGTCCGGTCCCCGGGACCCTGTACTTACATGCGTCCCACTGGGAGGGGGGATTTTCCAGTCCACCCTTCCCTTCGAGGGGCTCGTATCGAGGTCGTAGTAGTCCTCCGTCAGCTCCAACCAGCACTTGTCCTGAAGTTCGGCGTACAATCGCCCGACTGTGGAAATGACGGACACGTCTTCGGGTGCAAAAGAGTCATTCTCGGCCCTCACTTTCTGGAAGACCGCAATTCTAGCGACGTCGAGGAAGTCAGACTTCGACCCGCGAGGGGGGGGCACCCATCCTCCGTCCGGGACAGCGACGGCCACGATCCACTCACCCTTTTGGATCGCCGCCTGGATGACTCCTGGATGCCAAATCATGTCATGGCCCCAGTCCGCCTCAGTGGAACGACTTTGAGGCTCAGGCAGGAAGTGAATGTTGGCATCCTTCCAAGACAGATGATCGGGCGGGATGTCAGACCCGGGATGCAGTGAGCGATGGCCGGAGGCCAGAGCCTGCAGTCTCTGCAGCAACTTCATCGGGGTATTACCAGGCGCCAGTTTCGCCATCGGTGACACGAGGGATGCCGGGCTTGTTGACGGGCCTGCCAAGGACGACCCTGTAGCGTGCTGCGCGGGATGTGGGTCGTACTGCAGGTCGAGGCTTTCTGTGTCGCTGCCCTCCTCGTCCGCGGTCGCGTCGAACTCGATGTCGGTGGTCTCCTCGTCTTCCGTGGAGATCAAGGAGGAGTAACTGCCGAACGTCAACTCCTCCTCTAACTCCACGAACTACAGGGACTGCAACCTCTCGAGGAAGGTCTCCGCGTTCAGGCGTCGTGGTAGTTGTCGAGCAACGTGAATATGTGGTCCTTGCGGCGCACGTACTCGGCGTCAGTGTCTTTCTTCGGCCGCGTTTGCAGGAACAAGAAGTCGTATATCTTGTTCCGTTTCCTCGCACTCAACTTGAACCACATGTCCTTTTTGTTGTTCCACGCGCGAGCCCGAGTCTCGGTGACGACCATGAACTCGCAATTGTGGGCACCCGAATTGACCTCGCTTCTGACGAGATCAATTGTAAATTGCAAGAGCTCGGAGTTCCCTTCCATCGCGATGACGTGCCGTCCTGCCTTCAGTACTTCCCACACTGATCACACGAGTGGCTTCCCGAGGAAGACGACACCCTCCCCCTTCTTGGTGACGGATTCGAGAAGACTAACGAATTGCGCGGGGTTGCGTTCCATGTCCCCGTACACACTGCCCCGACGTGCAGGCGAGGTATGCGACCGGTCGCAAGGGTTGAACGGGATGTCAGACACATCCGTTTGCGTAACCTTCTGTGGTAGCCGCACTGCAGCAGCGGCACCTGCGGACAGTTTCCCCTCGTAGACGATGGACGTGTTAGCGCGCAAATCGTCGCCTTTGAAGAGTATGTACATCCGGTCATCTTCCGTGTACAAATTGTTCCCGACGGGGAAGCTTTTCTTTTGTTGACTCCTCCTCACCCACTTCCCTTCCAGCAGCTTGACGAAAGAAAGATGGTTCATGCTGGCCAAAAAGGAGAGGTCTACGACGACGTGATCATTCGTCGTTGTCATGCTGTCCAGTTTCGCTTTCTGTGACCTCTGCTCCTAGAGGAAGTGTACGTTCGAAGACCCGTTTCGGAATACCGTGAAGTCCGGACTCCATCAGACTTGGTGTTCTTGTCACATCCACGGGCCGGCAGGCGAGCCGCTAACATGTCCTGCCAATGGCGGGAACACAATGTTCACCGTGATCAGAACTTTGCGAATCTGCGTGGGAGAGACAAAGCTGTCTCTCCCACTTGTCGTCCCAAACATACTTGAACTTCGGATCCCGGAGAACTTCGCATTTTCACGAATCCGAAGTTGTGGCAATCCACCGCGCGCCAGAAAGCCCGCAGTCAGAACCCTCACCATGCGGATAGCGAAGTGCGCCAGGGCCCGAACTTGACGATTGTAGAGGAACCGTACGCGAGAAGTTCGGATCCCGATGGACGACGCATTTTCATGAATCCGCAGTTCGCCGGAATCCGAACTTGTCGATTGTGCGAGGAACCGTGCACGCGCAGTTAGGATCAGCAGACGAGCCGCAAACATGTCTTACGAAAGCCGGGAACCTGAAGTTCGTCGGGATCCGAACTTGACGAGATTTTGAGGGAGAGACAAAGTTGTCTATCAAACTCGCCATCCCATGTTTTCTTGAAGTTCGGATCATGGCGGACTTCACATTTTCACAGGTCCCTCGCTGCGGTTGTGCACTGGGGTTGCACCGCATGTTCGGTCTTACGAAAGGCGGGAACCTGAAGTTCGCCGGGATCCGTACTTGGTGAAATGCGGTGGGAGAGACACAGCTGTCTATCAAACTCGCCTTCCCATTCTTTCTTGAAGTTCGGATCCCGACGGACTTCACATTTTCACAGGTCCACCGCTGTGGTTGCCCGCTGGGGTCGCACCGTGTGTTGGGTCTTACGAAAGGCGGGAACCCGAAGTCCGTCGGGATCCGTACTTGGCGAGATTACGTGGGAGAGACACAGATGTCTATCAAACTCGCCTTCCCGTACTTTCTTGAAGTTCGGATCCCGACGGACTTCACATGTCCGCAGGTCCCCCGCTGTGGTTGCCCGCAGGGGTTGCACGGCGTGTTGGAACAAATGCACAAGTTCGCCCGCATCAGAGGTTCACGTGTTGTCGCAACTGGCCATCGGAACACGGTCGTTGGCCATGTCTGCCTTCGCACTTGGCATGTCACGAAATCGGTCGGCGGAAGAAGTTCGGATTCCGGCAGACTTCGTTTATCCGACCGAAAGACATCGGTCCCTTGATGCGCATGCGCATATCGACATGTTTGGGTGGGTGTGCGATTCGACGGGCGCATTATTGGGCCAGGAGAAAATGCCAACATCGCCGGAAACCGAACTTCTTCCGGTGTCCAATTGCGCGATCAGTTCGGTTGGTATAGCCAAGGTCGTGATGGCGGATTGTCACGACCTCGTTTCGATTTCGAGGACTGTGTCGACGACGAGGGTTGTGGTGGCTGCTCCACATTCGTCGTTGGATGACCATCAAGTTTCGATAAGCGACGAGGTTCGACGTCCGGTCGCGTTCGATGTCCGCCAAATTTCTATGCCCGCCGAGGTTTGATGAGGCTCCAGGTTCGATGGCCAACAAGGTTCGATGGCCGACAAGGTTTGATGGCCAACAACGTTCGATGTGCAACGAGGTTGTCACGAAGTGCTTTTTGTTCATTCGCGAACAGGGATCGACCTTTTTGTTCGTTCACGGGTTTCGATCGTGAGCTTCATCAATTACCTTGCGAGTTGTGTACGACCAATGGATTTGTCCGCTGGTCGAATGTAGTGCAATCGGGGCGAGAAAAGAGAATCACTCGGCTGACATATCGATGAGATGGTCGGCGAGCGGCCGATCAATCAACCAGTCGACCAACCGCCAACCGAGCAGTCGATCAATCAATTGCTCCTGCCCGATCTCCTGACCGATCGACTGTTCGGTCCAAGGCTGTCAACCAGTTCGATGGATCGGCCAGTTGAGCGATCTCGCAAAGGGTGATGCCACGAACCACACCCGAATGAAACGACTGGAACACAAAATAGGTCAAAGTGAAGACGCAGCACACACACGCACACACACATACACAGACACACGCACATCGCCACGTGTGTTTCGATTGGTCAGGAGATCTGCCAGGATCGAATTATTGTTGGTGGACTGGTAGATCAACTGGTCGTCCAACCGCCAACCGAGCAGTCGTTCAGTCATGTTGGTCCTGGCAGATCTCCTGACCAGTCTACTGTTCGGTCGGGGTACATCAAAGAGTTTGATGGATCGGTCGCTCGCCGCCCAGTTGATTGATCGCGCGGAGGGTGCTGCCACGTGTGTTTTGATGTTACCATTGAGACGAGCGGAACGCACGCACGGTGACAACGTTGGGACAACACACACGATCAATCGACCGATCACGAGCTCTCTGTTCGTGTTTGGCGGTTGGTCGATTGGATGCGTCTACTATCCCGACAATATCACCTCGTGCTTTGATTAATCATCCATTGGGCAGACCAGGGGCGGTATCATTGCGACATCACACAACATCAATCGTGATGGGCTTGTTCATCGCGTGTGTGGTCTCGCCGATGTCACCACGTGCTAGATCGGAGCTTCCGTGAAAGACTTGTTGAACACAGCAGGAGCTCACGCTCGCGCACGCACACACAAACACACACGAGGTGATAACGTTGGGGCGACACTCACAATCACCGACCGCTCACGTGTGGATGATTAAACTGATGAATGGAGAAAGATCCGATGAGAACTGCCCACACCCGATTGATCAGTTAATCAGCTCATGAGAACTGCCCACACTCGATTGATCCTGTTTGCTGCCCCAACGTCGTAGCCGCCGATCTGCCCAATGGATGACCAATCGAAACACGCGGTGACAATGTCGAGAGTAATCTGCTCGTGCTCCGCGATTGGTCGATTGGATGCGTTCGATGTCTACTTATATACTCTTTATTGCAATATTCTTGGAGATATTTTCATTCCCTATTGTGTTCATCAGTAAAACGAAAACGAAGATATAATAGATAGATAATATTCATTGATTATAGATAGTCTAGACTATCTATAATCAATGAATATTATCTATCCATCCATCTATTGTATCTCTGTCGCCGTGTTTTTCGATTAGTCATTAATTGGGCAGATCGACGGCTATGACATTGGAACAGCAAACAGGAACAATGGAGTGTGGTCAGTGCTCGGGATCTGATGAACTGATGAATGTCGAAAGCTACGATCGAGCGAGTTGTGGCCAGTCACGAAACATAATCACCACGCGCTCGATCAAGTGTTTCTCCATTCATCAGTTTGATACAACAGGACCACACGAGATCCGCACACCAGATTACAGTTGTGCGTTAGAACGTACGCGATCGCCGGATATTTTGCGCACACATCGCTCAACGCCCGAACACAGCAGGAGCACACTCGGAATGCAAACCATATCATTCATCCATGACCGCACACCGTCGCGACAACCTCTGCGCGTTCAATTAGCGCAACAACACACACACGCACACAAACAGACACACGCACACACACACACACACACACACACACACACATGCACACACGCCACGCACACACACACGCCCCTCACGTACAGACACGCACAACACTTCCTTGCACGTGTGTAGTGCACTACGTACACAAACACAAAAAAAAAAACACTCGAACACACTCACGTAAGCGCACACGAGACGCACAGACAAACAACCTCTCACAGTCACACACACACACACACAACCGCCCGCGCACATGCAAACACACACTCGTTCAATCTGCGCGGACATGTCAGCACAAAACTCACCCACAAGCGCACACAGAAACACACACGTCCCGGCTGCGTGCGCACTCACCGTGTGAGACTGTCGAGTGGAGATGCGTGTGGATCCCGGCGTTGATCAAGACAACACTGCGCCGACCTTTTGCCGTGCGCTTTGTGTTTGCGATGGTATTGCGTGGAGAGGCGGACGCACTTATCCTGAACAGATCCCTGCAGCATCGACGGGATGTCGACACGCGACGTCGAAGATGACGTGGACAGCAACTCGGGAAGTGGAGGGAGATGCGTCGAAGCAACGGAAGCGAGCACGGTTTAGAACGGGTGTCCGTTCGCTTTGCCAGCTATGACGCTCCAGCTGTGCGGGGCGATGGTGTTGACGACAGTGGTGGTGCGAGGCGTCCGTCCGGCAGCATCTCCCCAACAAAAACGCAGAACGCGGCGTTTATGCCCCGGGCACCGCTTGTATTTGTAGGCGCGCGGGTGTCGGCACTCTCGGGTCCCCTTCAGGTCTTCCATTTCGGAGCGTCGTGCAGGGTCCGTTTAACGCCGCACGACTGTTCGGTCTGCGCATCGAACGGTGGCTACACGTCAAATTTCCCGCTAGGGGGACCTGGTGCGCAGGACATGGCAAAAACGTTCCTGCGAACAGGCCCTTCCCGGGCGTCATGAAAAATGGCCCTTGTTCCTGGCCCCTTACGTTCGTGTCGTCGCGTTCGTGGGCCCCGCTCAAGGGGTTCTCAGGCCGCGCGGGGGGCGGTTTGTATTTTCCGGTTTGTGCCGGGGGGGGGGGGGGGGGGGTTTTCGCAGTGCACATTGCGAAGTTGCATTCTGGCCATCCGATTTGCGGATCGGACGACCATCGTGCGTCTTCTAGCATGGCGTCTGTGCCACTTCCTGCGTGGGCGGCCGACGTGCATCTTCGAACCTGGCGTGGGTTGCGATGCCAGATGAGCACCTGCCTGGGGTCTGGCGCTGCCCATTTGCGTCTCCTGGCCGACGAGCTGATCCGCTCGCCGTCACGTCCACGACGTCTTCCATCGCCTGCGTCGATCCGCTATCTCACCACGTGTCTCCGAGAGCGGGCGTCTGGATTACCTCCCGCCATCGCGTCAGTCGACTGAATGCGAATACAAGCATGTACCTCAACGCCAACGCCAGCAGTTGTAGTCGATGGAGGACACGTGGGCAGACAGAACAACACTGTACCTTGAACGGCGCGCTCGGCCAT